GAGCTAAAAGGTTCAGAGAGAAAAGAGAAAGGAAGTTGGCCCTAGGGCCGGGTGGCCGGTGTGGCCGCCGCCGGCGGCGGCCGGTGGGGGTAGATAGGCAGTAGTGGTGGCTGTGGGGCGGAGAGGAGGCGGTTGTGGTCGGAAGTGGCCGATGAATATTGTAGAGAGAGAAACCTAGTGAGAGGTGAGAGCATTACGTGTTGCTAGGTTATCTCTAGCTGCTAGTTTAGTTGTTTATTGTTGCTAGGTTAGTTGTCTGTTTCTGCTAGGTTACTTTTTTCTTTTTGCCAGGTTAGTTATTTTTTGCTGCTAGGTTAATTGTTTCTCGGTGCTAGGTTAGTTATGTTTTTACTGCTAGGTTAAATGTTTCTTGTTGCTAGGTTAGTTGTCTTTTGCTGCTAGGTTAGTTGTTTATTGTTGCTAGGTTAGTGGTCTGTAGGTGCTAGCTTACTTCTTTCTTGTTGCTAGGTTAGTTATCTTTAGGTGCTAGTTTAGTTGTTCATTGTTGCTAGGTTAGTTGTCTGTAGGTGCTAGCTTACTTCTTTCTTGTTGCTAGTTTATGTATTTCTTGCTGCTAGGTTAGTCGCTTTTTGTTGCTGGGTCTTTCTTCCTTCTAGGTTAGCTGTCCGATGTTTCTAGGTTAGTAGTCTAATGCTGCTAGGTAGTTGTCTGGCGATGCAATGTTAGCTCTAGCATGTTGCACGGTTTGTTTTTTGTTGTTGCTAGGTTAGTTCTATCTTCTTGCTAGGTTAGTTCCATCAGACCAACAGCAAATAAGTTTTTAAATAACATTTCCATCATATCAGAGAACAAAAGACACAACAGATCACACTCACTACATCTTAATCCTAAATTGGATCATGTCTACATCATCTTGCATAATGAAGAAAGTGCAGGTTGTCCCTTCTAATATTTCATTTTCTTCAAACATTTGTAGAGCGTCGCCATTCTGCAATGTTTTCCTTCCATCATCTCCATGAGTGATGTTTACCCTGTAAACTCGTTCTTCTACTTTTATAGATGCGCGGTGGTATTGAGAAAAATTGCCTTCAATATGTTCCCTCCAGAAAGGCACTGGCATGGGCTACAAGAATAAAGTAATTTACATGTATTATATGTATTTAAATACAAACAAGTTAATTATGCAGCCAGATGAAATTTATTAAACTTACCAAACGGACATGTTGAACATGTGTGGGCTTAATCTTGACATTGAAAGTATGTTGTGGCAGCCGAGTACGATTGTTGCGGTCAATGATTGTGATTAAATAGTCTAGGTTGTTGGTTGGAAGGAAAATCAATGTGAACCAATTTCAATGCCCACTGTAACAATGAACTGACGCCAACCTTCTCCAATTGTTGGGTCGCCACTAGGCTTTCTTATCACAGTCTCGTACGTGCGTCCTTCTATTGTATGTAAAACGCATCTCTGGGGCATATTCTCATCACGGAGATAGCCATACGTGGATGGTGGAAAGGGCTGCAACATCACAACATATTTTCTTTTTTTCAGTTAAACTGTGCTTTTTATATGTAACAGTGCACTATTAAAAGAAGAATTAAAACAAAAAACTTTACCATATAGCAGCGAACCCTGGGCTCAACATGCTTACTGAAGCATGGCAGTGAGTATACGTTACCGTCATCCATTTCATCCCAGTCATCCATATTTCTGTAGTATGTTATTGAGATGCAGTTCAATAATCAGAGAGAATAGGGTTATGAAGATGTTAAATTAACATAAACGAAGCATATATAATCAAACGTATTATGCAATAGTTATTACATAGAACATGGTGATGACTAAGAGAAAATTAACAGAGATTTTAATTCTTATTATAAAGATTGAAGGTAGAAATTGTAGAAGATTTTCACCTTCAACTTTGTGATGTATTCTTCTTGGGTAAGGCGGGCGGCAGGAAAGTTTTTAGCTTTTGACAATGCAGTACAGTATAACCCTAATTTTGTCCAGTTTATATGAAGTCAGCCATTACAACTACCCGACAAAAATACACTACTTTTCATATGATTTAAATGTTGTTGTATATTTTATTCTATATACTTGCATAGTTGCTAGGTTAGTTGTCTGATATTGCTAGGTTAGTTTTCTAAGGATGCTAGGTTAGCTGTCTGTTGCTGCTAGGTTTTTTATTTAATGTTGCTAGGTTAGTTGTCTTACTTTGCTAGGTTAGTT